CGCAGGTGGCCTGGTACTGGTCCCGTCCCCGAGAGATCCGCAGCCCACGGATTCCGGATTCCAGTGTGTTTTCGGTTTTTGTGTGTTTCGGCCTCGTCAATTTGTCGCCAGTTGCTAATTGCCGGCATTTTCCCCTGACTGCTGATGCTTCTGCTGCTGCTGTTGGCCCTGCCTGTTATATGTGTGGTATGATGGATGGACATGGACCCTGGGCCAAATGGCTTCTTGAGCGGCTTAAGCCCGGAAAAGGAGGCAAGTGGCAAGCTGACTCTGCTTGGCTCTTCTGCTGATAAGTGCCTCTCAGTGCGTAGAGTGGAGGATGTGGCTAAGCCTGATGTCTTAACCATAAACCGATCGCTCCTGTCTTCTGAGAGGGCCTCTTATGGGTGAAACAGTTCTACAAATTAGGAGAACCTTCAACAGTTAATATCCATTTTAAATGGATTTCCTTGGGAGAAATTAAGGTATAGGATATCCCACTGATAACAACAGCTTGGATTACTTGCTGACTTGGAAATCAACTAAATGAAAAGTGGTCTGAAAACGAAAGAAAAATGTCACATTTCATGTTTTGAAAATTTTCGTTGATTCTTGTCCAACGAATTTCCCATGGAACTCCCCAGCCAGCCAAAGACTATTGGGAAAATCTTAACCGAAAATCCCTCAATGCCCACATAAATCTTTCTTCTCACTCGATGCGGGTTCTGGTTCGTTGTTCGCGTGGTACGCGGGGTACGAGAGGTTCGGGTTTAGGCGGGGTTCTCCTTCTCTCGTATCAGCTGCAAAACTTCAGATGGCGACTTTCTGTTGAGCAGAGAGATAGAGATATGCCACAGCTGCTTGAGGCATTCCGCGCACATGTCCATGCCATTGGTGCCATACGTGACCGTGCCCGTGCCCGTTTCCGATCTCATTGAGATTTCTTCTCTCTGTTGTTTTTCAGTTGGGGGTTAAAATGAGAGGAGAAGGCGGTGGTGGCCATATGCTGCTCTTCATCATCATCGCGGCATCATCCAGAGGCGGCTGCATGCCATAAAATGGACGTCGAACTGGTTGCCTCCCTGGATGAAGCCAGAGCCGGCTGCATTGCATGTGTGCAACATCAGTAGAGTAAGAGTAAAAGAGAGAGAGAGAGATAGACAGAGACAGAGAGGGACGAAAAAAAAGCGCACATATGGCCGCTTAAAAGGGGGTTGCGCGGGCAGGCAGAAACCGAAGCAAACGTCCTTGCCCCGAACACCGCAGCAGCAGGAAGCGCGACGCTGCGCACTCATAAAAACTTGAATGATCGACACGTGTGCAGAATTTCCGCGACCAACAGCAGCAGCAGTAGCGGCAGCGGAGGGAAATGGAACCCAGAGTTAGAGCCAGAGCTAGAGCAATCCCCGAGGCAGCTGTTCCATTCCATGCTCTCTGGCCACCAAAAACGGTAGCAGCCGTGCAACTTTCTATGATGCCCCTTGCTGCAATCAAATCGGGAAAACGCACTCGCGATCGGTAGCGAGGGGGTAGCCCGGGCATCGGCAGCAGCAGCAGCAGCAGCATCACAGAGTCACAGGCAGCTGCCAATGCCGATGGACAGACCAGACGCCTGACTTTCATTAGCATTTCTAACGGCCAACGCAGCTGCCAAAGACGATGCCCGGCCTGATCCACAGACATATTTGTGGTCGGTCTCTGGCTGCACTTTGGATGCGACTGCCACTGCAGCCGCCAGCACCGCTGGACGCGAACTGGATCGATCCACAGACGACAACGTGATGCGGCCCGGGGACAAGGTGAAATCTGTCCCAGAAATACACTGTGAGAAAAACAGAAGCTGGACAAGGAAAATCTCAAATCTTAAGCTGGTCCTCTCTCAACAACTTTTTGCCATTTCTCTCAGTGTAGCCCCATGGTCTGCAGCTGTATCCCCGTTGGCTGCATTTGCGTTGGAAATATTTTTAATTGCTATTGGAAGTTTTCCATGTGCGCCTCCATGGACATCTCTCATTCGATGGCGATGGCGATGGAGAGTCCGTGAGTCCGGGAGTCCGGGAGTCCGGCGTGTGGGTTGCCAAACTGTATCGCAGCAGTTGGTCTCATGGATGTGGCTGTGGCTGCCTCTTTAGATTGTGGCAGCTGCGTGACAATTGTCCAGGTTGGCCAATTCAATTAGGCCAAGAGCAGGCGCAGTGGCAGCAGCAGCAGCAGCACTGGCAACAACTCTTGGCTGAAATGCTGCCGCTGACCGTTTGACATAATAACTGGCCACATTAGCAGCAATTGGCATTGGTCAATTAGCTTTTTTCTCTACTCTCTTTAGCTCTCTCCCTGCTGCCGTTGCATGCCTCCTGTTGCAACGCTTGTCGCGCTTTTCCTTATTTGCAACATTCATTGACACCTGCAATTGTTGCAGAAGCGCAGCAGCAGCAGTAGCATCGGCACTGCCACTGGCTACTGTTGCTGTCGTGTTCATGTTGCTGATTGGCAATCAATTTGTTGTCAGTTTTTATGATTCGCAGTGCGTCAATGTCAACTAACTGTTTTTTTCTTACTCTTAGCTGGTAATTTATTATGTTGCTGCCACAAACTGCAACTGCCACAGCAACAGCAATTAACACAGCAGCCGCAGCAGCAGCAACATTTTAAGTTTTCATGGCTGTAGCACGGTTTCGGTGGCATCCGCTTGGTGAACAATGCCAGACAAAACATGTGGGTGTTGCAGTTGCAGTTGCAACTACTACTCGTACTAGTGCTTCACCTATGTATGTATGCTGCCACTGTCGATTGCCGGCGCGTGTTGCAGACATCTACAAGTTTTACTCAGCACCAAGTGCTCCAAGTCCATCGTCCGACTGTCGGCTCTATTGCCCAGACATATGACCAAGATAAGCGGCATAATTATGCAAATTTGTTATAACAATCAACAGCAACAACAGCAGCAGCAGCAGCAGCAGAAACAGCAAACGACGACAGCAACATTTTATGGCCAACGTTTTAATGCCGTCAACAGCAATTGCATTTGCCATTTATGGGGCGTTAGAATTAAAGTTATAACATAATCACTTGTGATAGTTTTTATTTATTTGTATCGAGCACTGAGCAAAGGTAAATACGTATATAACACTTTTAGAGCCCGCAGATATTGTATCTGCACAGCAATATTTTAAGAGTTTTCTCCGGATGTGCGTTGATGACTTTGTCGAACAGAAAAAACCCGATTGCATATTGGGAAGAATATCATAAAATACCTACTTGTGAAAGTAATGTTCTAGGGCCTAAACAAAGCCTTCATAAATCGGTACTGGCCGTGGCCTGGCCATAATAAACATGGAACGAGACTCTGACTGCTAAATTTGAATACAAACATTGACAATTGACAGACTACAACGTCTGGGACGGAGGGACATTGGGCAGCTACAAATCAATTGCAACAGCAGAGAATGTCAATCACTTGAGAGTAGAATCTTTAGATACCCTTTCAGTCAGAACTTTACGAAAATGTATCCCCAGACCGTTTAGCAAAACGAGAATTTTCAGAGAAAATAAATTAAAACTGGTTCTGATCAAAAATAGTTAGACTATGGAAAATGTTGCAGAGAGCTGGTGCAAGTCATAATACCCTCTTAAAGGGTACAACAATCACATTGATATGGGATCGGAATTCATCGAGCTTTGGACATGGCTAGGAGCTGTAGCTGTTGCTGGAACTCTGGCTGTGACTACGCATGCATAAATGCCTTTATAATCATTTCGTTGAACAAAATTTAGACGTCACTCGGCTGTCAGTTGGGCTGCTTGATCGCCTGACGAGTCGGACATGTGGAGGATGCAGAGACGATGGAATCGGATCGGGTCGGATGGGTTTTTGGCTGGAAGACAGCCACAGACATAAGGAGCAGGAGCAGAAGTCAGAGCACCAGATCATGTCCATATTTGCATTTTTGAAATGACACATGGAAATGACAACAGCAGCGGCGGTGGCAGTGGCAGAAAATGGCCAACAGATTGACAGCAGCTGCAACAGACTGACGACAACAGCCGCAGCAACAGCAGCAACAATGACAACGGCCTGGAATGGTAAGCGAAAGTCGTGTGCAAATCCGAGCAGGCGACAGCATATGGATATACTATATGCTATATGGCTATGGACCGCTTGTTGCCAGAGATAATTGCTGTCGCATATTTTCAACGTCCACTTGTTGTCGCCGTTCCAGCCACCACAGCAGCAGCCGCAGCAGCCAAAGACAACCGGCTGCCAGCTTGGTAACATGTGTTGCACCGCTCTCGCCGTTGCCCATATTCGGCCAACATGTTGCAATCTCAATGGCCTGGACCCGGCCGCCCGGCTGTTCAAATATTTGGAAGTTCCTCCTGATACACGGCGATAGGCAATTATTTTACGAGCCATCGCCAAAAGCAGTTCCATATGCCATCCACAATTTACAAGCATGTTTTATCCATTCCGCCCCACTGTGCTGCTGGCAAGTTCAATGTCTCTGCTCTGGGAGATGAGAACAGAGAGAAAAAAACACCAACGCGCGAGAACAGCGCAGAAAGCAAATGAGCGCAAAACAGACAAACAGACAAACTTGAAAATTGTTCCAGCAGAGAGCGGCAGAGCAGATTGAGTTGATTAATCCACTGCCACGAATTCTCTCACTAAATGCAGTGATGCACAGTATAAATTAGACTAGTCACTTACTCTGTTAAATATTATTTAATTATAACACTTCACTAAACAAATGAATACATCCACGAAAAAGAATCAACTTCATGGTACAGCAAACTCAAGAACAGAATGAAAAACAGAAAGCAAATCAGTGGAAGACAAATAAACGGCAATTGGAAAGTGTTCCAGCTGAGAGAAGAAAAAAAACAGAGAAAGGTCGGCATTTGAATACCCTTTAATGAGCGAATACCCATATTAAACGCCACATTTATTCATGTACATTTCACTTGAACTGTTAAGAATGGAAGAATGGAATGGAATATTATGGAATTGTGAATATTAAAACACTATTTTCTACGACTTTTCCGAATAATACATTCACGTTACAAACGCACCAACAATTATATAATACCAGCACCAGAAACACACACACAAAGCAAAAAAAGACAACAGCACAACAACGACCACATTGTCACGCACGCCGAACAATTCAGTTTTTGCCACGCTGAGAGCGGCATTTTGAGAGAGCGCAAAAGTTGTTCTCTCTGCGCGGTTTTTGTTGCTGCACCCGGTCGATTTTTTACAGTTTGTTTTTAAAAACGCAGGAACATGGACATGCACAGGCTGATCGCTGAGGTTAGGCGGATGCCGGCCCTGTGGGATTCATCGCATCCGGACCACGCAAATCGTCTGGAGACGCAGCGGCTGTGGAACAACGTGGCAGACATATTGGGCTGTAATGGTGAGTGACTGATTGGATTGGAGGTTATATCATCGTTGCTTACTCTCTTGCTCTTGCACTGGTACAGTGGACTTGTGTCGCGCCAAATGGAAGAATTTACGCTGCAGCTATCGCCGGCATAGCCGGCGGCAGAGCCTGTCCAAGCAGCAATCCTCACCCTCGCCGATCCACCAGTGGTCTTATGCTGAGGAAATGGACTTCCTTGGCAATCTGCAGCGCAACGACAGCAGCACCAACGAGGAGGAGGATGGGGATGTGAAGGAGGAAGCGGGGTCGGATTCGGACATGTCATTTAAGAGAGAGGCGCTGCCGGCTGACGAAATGGAGGCGGATAATGATGCACTGATGCAGGAATTCCAGAACATGGCCACCCCCCAGGCCCTGCGCCGGCTCTCGCAGAGCATTTCACTGGCCAGTGCCGCCGCCGAGGAGAGGTCTATGCCGCAACAAGCCTCCCCATCTCCGTCCACCAGCGGATTGGGATTTGGTCAGATGCAAGGACTAGGATTGGGACTAGGACACGGACACGGACTTGGTTTGGGCATGGGAATGAACATTGGAACTGCAATGGCAGCGGCGGCCGCCAGCAGTTGCCAGTGTGCCAAGCGCGTAGACGAGCAGGTAAACTTTCTGGAGGGCCTGAAACGCGAGGAGCAACAGCTGATGCAGTCAACCAGCCAAGATCTGGCGCGCTGTAAGAATGTGCTGCATGTGGGTGACTCCGACTATAATTACCTCATCAGCTTTATGCCGCTGATGAAGCAAATGACGCCCATCCAGAACGTTTACTTTCGGGCCAAGATGGGAGAACTCCTGCTGCAGACGATGCAGCAACAGCCGCCAGTGCAGCTCCAGCAGCAGCAACAACAGATGATGCTGCAACAGCAGCAACGCCAGCAGCAGCAGCAACAACAACCAGAGGAGCCACAGCCCTCGCAAATGTTATTGAACCAGCAGCAGATGGCCTTGGACCAGGCGGAGTTGCAGTAACATTCGCGAGTGTAGCGAATAGTGGGAGAGGGAAACAGCAAGACAGTCGGAGAGAGAGAGAGAGAGATACAAAGAGAGCGTGCACCGGTTGAATGCGCCTGTCTGTCCAGTGCACTGTGGTCACAAAGTAGAGATTACATGTTGTAGATGTACAATGTAGATGTTGAATGTACGAATAAATACTCGTAAATGTATGATTTATGTATGATATATATTTTTTTAAAGGTTTCTTGTCGCGTATTCAAAAATGACCTACACTTTGCAGCTGATGGATTCCACTGTCACACTCCACTCTCTTGTAAGAAGTTTCATAGCTGTCACCTTATGTACGGCCACCTCTGGCAGCGAAGGTTTCGTGTTATCCATGTTTGGAGCAATCATTGTACCATGACGAATCTTTGTGCAATAAAAATATTAAATGAGAAAAGAAATTCTTTTGGCCCCATAGATCAATGCACTTGTGCCCTTTTCGCTTTGCCTGTACCGAACGACCATCATGTGACGAGACAGAGAGAGGGAGAGAAGAAAGAAAAGGAGAGTGACATTTGTGTGGGCGTTCGAGTGGCTTTTGCCAGCTGCACAGAGCAAGCGCATGCATCCGTGGAACGTAATCTCGCCGCCGCTGGCCGCTTGCCTGCCCACACATGTCCGCCGTACGCCTTTAACTGTGGAACCACATCAATAAATTACAGTAGAATGAACCCCATCCGATGGAACCCCATCAACGGCGGTGGTCCTGCCGTCTTCAGTCTCTGTGTGTGTGTGTGTGTGTTAAAAGCCAAGTCCAAACTTAACATGGCTATAAAAAAAGAACGCAGCAGCAACAACAAAAACAACAACAGAAACGAAACTGGAAAGGGGTAAGTGAGAGGGGAATAGGTCGCTCGAGAAATCAACGCAGCTGCGGATGACGAATCGAAATTGACATTGAACTGAAGCTGGGAGTCGTAGTAGCAGAGTAGAGAAGGAGAAGTGGAGGCCAGGCCGCTCTTGGAAGTCATGTGTTTGAACTTGTTGCTGCCGCAGTTGAGGCAGGGGCATGGCTCCGGCCTGCCTCATGAATTCCAGCAACAACAGCAACCAGCTGTAAAGCAAACCAAAAAGCAAACAAAAAAAAAAAACAAACCCAAAGTTTAAGGTGTGTTCTTGAGCTTGAATGTCGGTCGGTCGGCAGTTTAGTTGTCGAAGATTGGAATGGTAGAGAGAGAGAGAGGGAGAGAGGGTGGAGAGCGAACGCGCAATTAACGGCAACAGCAGCCAAAAGAACATTTGCCAATTCGAATGCAAATTGACATTTGTCACTCGAACGTGCGCCCATGGCCAATCCAATGCATTCCACTGCTCCAATCCCAATCCCAGTCCCCGTCCAGCTGCTGGTGCTGCTGCTGCAGAACATTCCAAAATATATTCTTGTAAATTTCCAACCGATTCATGGCCAGCCTTTTAACTACAGTGAAACGTACGCTGATGGATTTTCGCACCTTTTGGCCGTCAGTCTAATCCCCGCCCAGCCGGGCATGAACGTGTTAATGATGCGACGGGACAGCCGCAAGAAAGTGCATTTACCTGTTCGCTTTTGTTCTTTCGCCGCTCCTCTGGGCCAAAATGCAAATTTCACTCTATTCAGCTCACGTCACGTCAAATATTTGTACAGATTTTTCCCAAGTGCATTCTGGCACACAGGTGTTAAATCTGGCAGCCCATTGTTAATGCGTGTTGCTGTTGTTATAGCCATCGTCCATTGTGGCAGTTGCCGCATCCTCAAAAACCGTTAACATGTTCCGGAATTTCCAGAATTTCGCTTAATTCATCAGCCCGAAAGGGTTTCCTACTAAAATGTTGCAACGCTTCGCTTCTAACACCTTTTCTCGTTTGCCTAGTTTTTGCATATGGCCAACAGGTGCAAGCAGCAATCAGCAAGTAGCATGCGGATGGTTGTGGCAGAGGGGCATAGTGGATAAGGGGGGAGGAATAGGAAATAAAAGAATCGAGCAACAATTTGGTTAGCAATTGGTTATGGTCATGGCCATGTGGACCTGTATTTCAGCTAAGGCAATTGAAAGCAAAAGAACTGCATTTTCAGGAACCGAAAAGTGGCTGCAGCTTATAATTGAAGTGCGTTCAATGACAGAATAAACACATTAGTCCATCAGTCCATCCGTCTAGCTGTTTCTACTTTTTATAGCCAACATATGGACTCATTATATCATATAGTTACCACTTAACGAACGATAAGCCACTCAGTCGTATATCTACCATTTCTTTTGCAGTCCCATGACACCAATACGTACTGTATGGGGGGACACGGCTTACACACACATTCCAAAAAACCCAGGAGAACCTTATGGGTCTTGGACTCTTGCAACTCTATAATTTAGCCTCATCATTAATATGGCTTTTGTGGCTGACATGAGCAAAGTTTTGCCCCGTTCCCTTCGAGGGGCCATGGGGGCATACATAATAAATGCCTGTGACACCTCTTAAGAAGATTATGCACATAAGATTGCACATTATCCTCGGTCGCAAAGAGGAGATCGTGAGGCCTCCTCCTGCTTCTGCGCCCGCTCCTTCTGCTGATCTGGTGATGGTGCTGCCGTTGGAGTTGGCTCCTATTCATGGGCCATAATCTCGATCCGTTTTGGCCGCCACAAACCAATCAAAACATGCACTTAACATTTTGGCTGAACCTCAAAAACCACCAGCCTTTCAGCCCCTACAGCCGCAGATACATCGTTAACACCAACAAAGAAAGGGGTACGAGTATATGTACATCTGAATTTTGTATGTGGCACATGCATAGATGCTGAGTCATGGGGTACATGGTCCGAAAATCAGGTACACCCCCGAACCGACTCGACCGCTGGCAATCAAGCGGAGTCAGTGGGGCTTTTGTATTGCCATTGCCTCGGAGCAATCAATGCTGTATGACAGCTAGGCTAACAGGCACCTCCATGGCCTCCCCCTGCCCCAACCTCCATCGATTCAACGCGCTTCCTCTTGATTTCGTTAAGTAAATCTCGAACATGGCTGTGGCAACCTTCACGTGCTCGTAGCCCGTAGCCCCAGCCATCTGTCCGTCCCAGCGCAGCGGTTCGTTTCCATGGCTCGAGATCATGATCATGGCTTTAACTGGCTCTTGGCACAGTACGAGTGTACACCATAGTACTCGGATATTTTTAACTCTCCTCTTCTGTGTCTGTGCCTTTTGGACTTGGACGACTCTCGGGTTGCGTTGCGTTTATTGTTGTCTCGTTGAGATCTTCGCCTCGGTCTGCGGCTGTGGCGGCTGCGACGGCTGCGACGTTTGGTGGGACCCGGCGGTACCCAGCCAACCAACCATCCCAACCATCCGAGCCAGCCGTCTGCGTCTGTTTTCTTTTTAAACGCTTTTAAACACCTGAGAAACTTGCTTTTTAATGTGCGCACATGTGTGCGGCGTCGCACTGATGACGGCGACGACGGTGATGATGAAGATCGTTCCTTAGCTGGCTGGCCCCCAACTCCATCTCAGATCTCCAACTGCCTCGTTTGTGCCATGATGATGAAGCAAATATAACAAATCTCAGAGTTATCAACCGGCAACCGAGGAGCAGCCGCCGCACAGCTGAGTAAATCAATTGAGTCTCACAATTCTAGGAATTCTTTAGCTCTCTCTTTCCATCTCTATCTATAGCTCTAGCTCTAGCTCCAGCTCCAGCTCTACCCTCTCTGTGGCTTCTTCTAGCTGTGTCTAGCTGTGTGTGCCTGCCCTTGAGGTGTTCCTAGTTGCTTGCGTCGGCGTCCGTGTCGTTAGGCGCATTTAAATATGGCAAAGGAAGGCACTGCGGTTAACCCTTCAACGATGCGAATGCTAGTGACAAAAGAAGCAAGTTGCAGGAATTGGAAAAGGGAGAGCAATAAAGTAAGAGGGGTACCAAATATTATAAGAAGTATTCTAGGGAGTCAAATATTTTAGGAGCCAAAGATTACGCACGGCTTTCCGTAGAATACCATTTTCCTGACTACACTTGGGCTATGCCATGGGATTACCTCACTAGCGTAAAATGTATGCTGCACCGCATCTCGCTAGACAAGGACGTTAATGGGTTAATGGCAGCACAAGTGTTGGTTGGCCCCCACGGCCAATGTCGGACAAAGACGCGAGATCGAGATTTATACCTAAATGATTAACCATTTCTTCCCACTCCACTCCGATCTTTGCTCCGTCTGTGTGGTGCCGGGGGTGCCTCTTGGTGTGAATTTGTAATGCGGCAGAGGCAGAGATCTGGGTTCGGTTTTCCTTGTGGTATGCACACTGCTCGAGGGGCACCATCGCTGATGCGCGGCCTCTTTTGCTGCTGCTGCTGCTTCTGCTGCTGCTTCTGACCATTCTTTCGCTGGCGATTGACACCTGCATGCATTTCTTGTTTCTCAGGTGTGCACTGAGCTCTCCTCAGGTGTGTCTGTTTGTGTTTTTTTTTTTTTTTTTTTTTTGTATTCATTTATTTTTTTAACTCTAGCGTGGCTTACAACTAGTAACAATAACAATACAGTAAGGGTGGTGGACAGAAGGGTGAAGGGGTGTAGGGGTCGTGCGTGAGCGGTACTGCAGCATTGCTTCGCCGCCGGGACACCTACTCCGTCCGTTCCTTCCGCCTTCCTCCAGGGACCTAAGCGTTGTCATCACGCTACAGGCGACACCGCGGCCGCTTCCCAGACTCTTGGCTCAGCCAGCATCAGCGGCACCAGATTTTCTGCACTTATTCTTTCCCCTGAGCGGCTTCCAACTCCTGCCGCTCGTAGTCGAACCATGGCACCAAAATAACGTGCTGGCGCTTCAACTATACCCGTGCCACACCTGGACACCAACCTCCGTCTCGTGGCCGAGCGCTTGAGGTAGCTGCGGAAGCAGCCGTGCCCGCCAAGCCTGGGTGAGGTGAGCTACCTGTCCGTGCTTCCGCTCCACCCAACACGCTATGCGGGGATGAGGGTGTGCGTCCAGCGCCCTTTTTGTGAGCTGTCCCACCTTGCCTGCCACTCCAAGCTGCTCCTCCTGGCGGCAACCTTCAGCTCGGCCACGGAGTGGGCCGCGCCGTCGTGAGTGGCGTCGTGAAGTCCTCCTCTCACGTATCAGCTCCCCGAGAGGGATTTGCCCGGCGATAACCAGCGCTGCTTCGTCCGAGATGGTTCGGACGAGCACGTTATCTAATGGCGCATATCCT